AGTTGACGTAGGTATAATTCATTTGACGGGAAGCTAACTAGCTTTGTCTTCCGTTATTTACCAGCCACACGCACACCGGGTTTTCTACCATGACGTTATGCAATGTTTTCGTAAAAATACTAATATCCCATGAGAATCCACTGAAGTTAAATGAGCTGTAATGCTCGAACTTTATAAATGCTTCTGGTCAAATATATGAAGTTTCCGATTGATAAGCGTTATAACAATCACAGTTATAGCTTCCAAAGTTTATAACACACTGACTATAGCAAACTAGTAATATATATACTCTCTTTTTCTGGCGCGTCGCGTTGGTTATATTTATAGGCGTGTGGAGGCTTTCTAGAAATTTCAATTTTATGTAACAATACTGAGTTGCATTTAAGCGTTTACGTACATACATATTGATTCTTACTCTCGAGAATCTACTACAACTTTGGAGAACAGGCGGGAGTTTCGCAATACATTTAACAGTATAAGCTATGCATGTTTCTAAATATAAATTTAATATAAACAAATGTTGATATTAAAATAAATATTTTATAAATTCGTTACACCAAATTTCCGTACAAACAATAATACCCAAGAGTTTTTCATGTCAATTCATCATTAATTATTAGACTTAGATGACAAGACAGAAATATCAAAATGTTGAATTGTGAAATTAAAACGTGGGGGGAAAGAAAAGTTCAGTTCCATAATTTTCCGAATCTTCAGTGCTAAACGACATTTCAAGTTATCTTTCCTTTGGGACTTCATTTGTCATCAAAGCAAGAACGGTTTTAAATTTAATTAGGATTTTATTTTTATAGAAAGAACCAGCGATTTTTATAAACGTATTGTGTATGTTATTTTTAGCCATTAATATTAGCAACTATAAATAACACAGTACACTATGAAGTACGCAGATACTGTTAACAGTTTGTTAGGACTGTTCGTCTTTAAATTTGTCCGAACTGTTTTTCCTTATTTCATTTTGAGTTTACTTACTGATTATAACATATTTGTATTACAAAAGCTATAACTTGTAATAAAGAGAATATCGTTTATTCTGATATGGAAGAATCTTTTGTTTCGTTGGTAACTGTTAGGAAAATGAATTATACTCAATCTGTTTAAATATGAAAATCTATAAACTTAGTTTAAAGGTCAAAGATTAATAAAAAAAAAGTGATTTAAATGAAAACTATGTGTTAAGCTAATTTATGTTTGCACTCGTTCTTCGAACTATAATGAAAAAATGTCATCTAAGATCACAAAAATTTTCTGCTGATAAGTGAAATTTCTAAAGCTATTAACAATTGATGAAAACAGTTCATTTATGGTGTAAAAAACGTTAAAATAATTAAACTTAATCTGACAGTCTCTAAAAGATAGCATGTTTTTCTGTCGTATATATTTTTAATCATTGTTTAATGATTTGTTTGTTTGATCAGTTTTAAGTGCCAAAAATCATCTTTAGGCTTGCTTATGTTTTTTCTGTCTATTTGTCCTGGATACAGCACTATAAATTTTAATTTAGCACCCCCCCCCCCAAAAAAAAAAAGATGAACAGGCTAACATTGGATATATTTATGTTGTAGAATTATTAAGTGAGAAGTAGGTAGACAATAGCTTTGTGCACATTCCAAAATCTAAAATGTATTGGTAGAATTCACTTGAGCTATTTGAAAACATCCTTTATGGGAAATAGGAAGATTCAAGAGATAACAACAAACATTTATAACTTGTAATACCTAGATTGTTTCCACTGTACATACAGTATCATAATTACCATGTATTTGAACAGCTGGACAACTTAATACTAAGTTGATCTTGGACAATGTTTAAAAGTTCATAATGAATCAGTGTCATTTGCTGACATTTATAAAATGCTGTGAATCTTGAAAACAAAAACAGCAGCTTCTTACATTTGTACATAGGTGAACAATCTGACTATGTTTGTGGGTGACATAAAATGTTTAGAATCAACACCTACCTTCATTGCTGTTGAGTTACAAAGCAATAAAATGTGAGGCCAACCCAAAGATTGCCTTCAGCATCTTTCATGCTTAGTTGAGAACTGAAGGTAATATTGAACCTTTTCTAAGGTTTCCCACAGAATCTTTAAGCAAATGTATCATTAATCAAAATAAGACAAATATGTTGTCCATAACATTTTCAGTTTGAGGTCATAATCTTTACATACCTGCATTGATGCTAAAAGGCCAAGTCAGATTCAGAATAAATTTTTAAAACAAATAAAAACATCACCCTAGAACCACAGGCTTGCATTGTGACTTCTGAATACACCAGTTCACACTTGGCATCAAAATGCTTTGAACGCACCCACATTACTCATGTGACATGTGACTCCTTAAAGTAATTTACTGAAAATCTAAAAGAAGGAAGTTGTTCTTAGACAGCATGTTTAAGAGTCATTCTAATTTTTGATGTTCACATACTTTTGTGTGGTATTTGGCTTGTCTGGTTGTTGGTTCTTGGCTCTTGTATATCTGGCATGATGCCAGATATTTGGCTTAGGCTTGAGGACTCTCTTCTCTTTATAGGAAGGATTTTGCAATAAGGAATGGGAGTTTGAAAACTTAAGACAATGAATTATGCTCTTTAATTTGAAAACTACTTTAAATAAGTTCCACTTAGGTTGAATATGGTACATGTCTTCAATTCCTTTGCTGACATTGTTATAAAATGTTTAGAAGTGATGAGTGAAAAACATGTTGTTTTTTTTACTGCCACAAGGATCTCTGCATTATTTTTGAAAATTGCCTGAAGTGAATAGACATGACTGCACAAGTATAATAAAGTTATGAAGTACATATTTTCTGGAACAATTGAAAACAGGTTTAATAGTATCTCAATATTTCATTATTAATAGACAAAAACCATTGTTCATTCTAAAGCTTAATGTTACCCTGATAGTAGTGTTGTAAATGCTATCATGCCAGTGTGTACTATACCAGATTGAATAACATAAAAAAATATCATCACATTCTTTACTCCTCATGTTTGTATCATTAGAAACAGTATTCAATATATTTCAGAAGTGTAATATGATTGTTTTATCAAGTTTTGCTTTTACCATGAATATCATAACTAAAATATTAAAAAGACTGAAACACAACTTTTTCTTAGCAGTGTAGAAAAACAAAAAATTGGATCAACTACCATTGGATAATGTATAGAATAATAAACTCCAAAATATTATATTTTTGTCTTTCGATTGTTGAAGTGTACACTGATTTCAATCTGATTTTACCAAACTGTGTAGAAATATCTTAAGTAGTTGTATATATTTACACAAAGATGTGTTTTCTTTTTTGACTGAGTTACCCTCATTGGATTGTTGACTTTTTTGTTAGTAGGTTTTTACAAGGATATATCATGTTTTTGTGTTAAATTTTTTTGATACAGTTTCATAAATATTTTTATTAGGTGTTTTGGTCCTGTGCATGTGAGTTATATATATATTATTTTGCAGGATGAAGAAGAAGAAATTAAGTTAGAAATTAATGTTCTTAAAAAGGTAAGTGTTATTATTCAAACAGATTTGAAATGAAAAATACTTTTAAGTTTAAAATACATGTAATTCACAGTAGTAAGTGTGAGTGTAAGTATTTCAAATTTTTTTTCAGTTCACAGTGATCTGTACTTGCTAATTGTATATGATTGTATTAAATCAAGGGATATTTCTGGTAATAAGATGATAACTCTCTTATCTTTAGGGGTGGGTCTTTAGTGGGTTTAAGATTTTTAAGTGTTAGTCACCAGTAGTTTTATTTATCCAAAATTAATACCAATAGAGGCAATAAATTGCAAGCATAAAGAACAGAAACTTGCTCTAAAGATTAATATTCTAATAGGTAAGTCTTTTCCATTTTTGTTATTTACAATGAAAATTCTTGATTTTGGTGTTAAGTAGATTTATGAAAACTTAACTACAAAACAAGTGAAAGATTTAGGTATGAAAATACTCTAAAAGGTAAATTTGTACTGTAATTTTGTAACTGTAATTTTACCCTAATTTTGTTAGCTATGTAATTTTAAAATAATTTTGTTTTTTCTAATATGCCAAAGATAATGCAAAATGTTTAATAATTCTAATATGTTTACTGTGTCTTCTACTTTTGATAAAAAAAATAGTTTCATTCTTTTAAAATTCTGTTATACTTTAATTTAAAAATATAGTATTTTGATTTCTAAGAAAGTTCATTACATGTACAACTTTGGACAAGTTTAGAAATTTATGATAAACTTTATCCTGATAATTTTCTTAATGCTGGTTTGTTTATTTTATAAAAACATTTTTGAAACTTGATTTCTAATGGAAAAAAAGAAAATTAGAAGTTTGGATTTTAGAACTATTATTGCTGTGTAAACTATATGATTATTTTGTCATGCGTTACACAAAAATATTTCAAAAGGAAATATATCAAATCTAGCATGACCAGTTCAACCTGACATTTTAAGGTATTAGTAGGTTTATTTAGACTGGTTCTTATAAGTGATCCATAACCAATAAGGAAACAAAAACTAAATTTTCAATAGTGATAATTTAAAATGTATAGTTCTTTCTATAATTCAAGATATATAATTCTTTCTGTATAAATACTCATCAAAAGTTTAAATCATTTCAAACTTTTCTTGACACACATACATGTATGTAAAACTATCTACATTCTGTATCTTTTATCTATGGGTTATATAACTATAGTAGAGGTTGCATATTTTTTGTTGAATATTTATTTACCTTTTAATGGAACTTCATTCCTACTTTTTATATTTTGTTTGTATGAGTTGCATCCTGAGAGAAAAAGAATTCTATGACTTTTACAAGATTTACAAGCTGTAAATACTGTAGTAGAATAGAATACTTTTATACAAGTTGAAAATATGTCCAAACATCTACTTAAACTTTACTTCCTCCAATATCCCCTCTAAAGAACATTGTTTGATTTCTTCAAGCAAGAGGCTCAGGTTTCTATACTGATTGAAAACATTATGTTTAAGGTAACAGGAAAAGGTTAGCATGTGCCCAATTTAAAATATTTGATATATAAGATTTAATTTTTATCCTGTTATATTTCATTAGTCAGTATAGTTCAGGGTTAATTAAGAAACATTTTATTGTAGTCCTTTTCCAAATTAATGTATGTAATCTCTTCTACTGGTATTATTGGAATGGTTATATATCCAACATTCCAGGATCACTAGAACACTAGTAGTACATGTTGAGGAAAAAAAAAAAAAGCTATGCATGTTTCAAAAATACCAAACTTTCATCTATATTTTAAAACAAAATAAATGTACATTGTGTGCATAATACTTAACATATTTAACATTAAAGGTAATGCAATGTATTTCACAAAAGACATTACAGGAAGAAAAAAAAAGATTTGACAATGGGTGAACTCTGACTTGACTCTCAAATATCTATAGTGAGGCATAAGTTTAATTAGCCAGGGGTCCATGAACAAAATGTCACTTAGCACTAGTCATAAATTCTCTCCTCATTTGGTGTCATGAGTAGTATAGGGGAGAGTTCATGGTTAAGTCTGCTTGTTTGGGACAAGCTGTGTTAAAGAAGGAAGTAATGAATTAGTAATGCTTGGGTGAAACTGTAAACATACTGTTGTCCCAGATACTGTTATAGATAGTGACTTGGGAGGAGATTGAAGTTTAAGTAGTTGTTTGGAAGTATTTTGTAGTATTTACAAAAATCTATTCTACAGCAGTATTTAAAGTTTGTAAATGTTATAAAGATGGTAGAATTCTCTTGCACTCTCTCTCTCTATCAATACTGTAAAATCCAAGAGAAATACAATGTATGTACTTCTATAATGCTGTATAAGTTAGATTTCAAATGAAACAAACTATGAGATTGAACTACATTGATTTTTGAATAGCACCCTTCAACTTAGTAATATAGATTTCCATCTTTTGTGGTTAAATTTGAGTATTACAGAAATACAATTTGACCAAATTTGTGATTTATTTTGACTCTGGTACTAATCTCTTATTAACATTATCTTTACTTTGTTATGTAACTTGTTTGTAGTAATAGTGTTTCCTGCTTTAAAATGATTTTAACACAATGTTTTGAGTTTTTATCTGGACAGTGATATAGCAACTTGAAATTGTTAGTTATTTACCTATTGTATATATTCCTAGTATTCACATCATAGAAACATAGCAACATATTATGGTGCTTTTATCCAGAAGAGCCCACCTGGAAAAGATGATAAACTTTGGGTATGTTTACATGTCAAATACACTTGATTAAAGAACTAGTTTAGTTGTCAAGATTATAGTGTTAAGTGGCTGTGCCATTCACAATAATATTATGTACATATTATTTTCATAAATAATGTATATAAAGTATCTTATAAGCACAGGTTTATGACTGAGCATTTAATAAAATTGGTATTTTGTTTGTAGTTTAATACATTAAATCATATATATAATTACAGAGATTTAATGCTAATATATTCTCATGGATTGTTTCTTTGTAAAATGAGTGTATAATAGCATTTTAAATAACCCTGACTCGTTTGTTGTTAGGGGTTAGTGTGGTTTTAAGCAGTAATTAATATTAATGTCCTATTAGAACAAATCACTTGATTAGTGCAAAACTAAACTTCTTGGAATTTACATCGCTTCTTACAATGTCAATATCAGACTCATCTTCCTTCGAAGTAATTTTATAGATATACCTTGAAAATTAGCATAATAGCTGTGTAGAACAACTGTCTTCAGATATTTTAAACAAAATTTAGGTATTGTTAATGTGATGGTCTTGAATATAGGTGAATTTAAGCTTTTATGTAATTGTTTTAATAAAAAACTATCTATAAAAAAATTATATATAATAGTGCTTCTTTTAGGGATTTTACTTGCCATTTTTTCAGTTCTTCTGTTTTTGGAACCATCTCGTATAATTTCATAGTATTTTAGAAATAGATAAATTTGTTCAATGAAACCATTTTGGCAGTTACATCAAGCACAAATGGAAAAGGTGAATACTGTTAACAAATATTGTCTGTATTAGGGGACATTTCAGGCTACTGTCCGTCTTCACATTTAACAACAGACTGTGCTATCAGGTCTGAAGAATGACAGTTGTCTTAAGTGCCACCTGATAAAATAGGATTTACTGATCTACGATACCAGCTAATTACTACCCAATTAATTTTTACTGTTGTACAAATAAGCAGTGTTTTTGACATTCTGAATTTGATTTACAACATAAAATGTTGAAATCGGAATTCTTAGTGTAATCCTCAAACAATAGAAGTTTTCAATAATTATATGATTATTCAGATGATTAATTATAAGTTATTAATTGAAAAGCTTCATTGATAGTATAATTGATTGAACATATTCATCTATTTAACCCTTCTATTTGTTTAGCTTGTCATGGAATATTGTGGAGCTGGTTCTGTTACCGATTTAGTGAAATGTGAGTACTGTAAAGTTAATATTTATCTGAAAATTCAAAAATCCATATAACATGTTAATCATAAAGTAGAACATTTTAAATAATGACTAGTGCTTTGTATAAAATGATTATATGTAGTTTGATTTTAAATTTGTAATACTGTTGAAACATTTTTATTCGTGAAAATTGGCTTATAACACTTATTTCACAAATATTGTGTTTCCACTATTAAATTAGTTAATGCTTTATATCCATTCGTATGTCAGACTCTGATCCAGTTTGACATTATATTACTTGTTTAGGGCAAGTTTAGCTACTTCTAATTCTGAGACATAATTATGAATTTAGGAAAACTGTTATGTTGCTTTAAATTAAACTTTACAATATCTCATTTCAGATCACAAAATAGCTTTTCTCGACTAGCACTGCCCTCTGTTGGGGCAAATGTTCAACACATACCACTAGCCTTCCACCTCCTGCTTCTACATATCCACATGTAGCTCTCCACCAATAGGAGTGCAACACACCCCTATCATAACCAGCACCCTCTCCACATTTGCACTTTTGAATCGCATCTCAATAGGTAGTAATACTGTAAAGATGTGGTTGTTTTTGCTCACAAATTTGTTGATGTTTTTCTTTATACTACAGACTTAGATTTTTCTTAATATTTCTTTACTTTTTCATGTTTTTGGATTGTGAAAGGTTGCTTTTTTGTATTTTTCTTCCTTTCTTTTACTTCAAGTTTGGAATTATCACTATGAACTCGCGGTTTCAGTTAGTTACAACTACCACAGTTGTTACTTCTACAGGGTTGAGTACTCAATTATCGACCGAGGATGTGACAGCAATTATTTTATGAGAAATGTCCACATTCATGCAACCTTCACCACCACACAAGTAATAGTCTATCAAGCCTGCTCCTGGGGTGTCTGGATTGGAGATGTACCCCAGGTTTGTGTCTTCTTTTCCTTCCATCTGCTGGATGTTGGTTCCCAGCAGATCTGGTGTTGGTTGTAGCTGGACACAGCACATTTTCACACTTGTGTATGGCTGGATATCCTCCTCCTTTCGTGGATTGGAAGTATCACATGCATAACTCTCAGGTTTTAGATCAGAGATGAAATCCTGCCAGGGCTTTCCATCTTCCTACCATCTACTGGATGTTGGTTCTTGGCAGATCTGATGTTGGTTGTGTTGGAAATGCGTGCAAGTAGAGACAAGTTTTGGCATGGAAGCTTGTCTTCCCTACCAATTCCCATTTCGAGGTGAAGAGCTAAATGATCCTCTACCTTCTGCGGATCTGATGTACCATTCCAGATTTTGCCTGGTGTGGGATGAGTTCAGACTACCACTGTGGTCTGTCGTGCCCTTGCTACTTGACACCCAGGAGTCTTATCCATCAGGCATATATGTTCATGATACAGTCATAAAAGAGCGAAGAATATACCTGGATCAGATGTGGTGCGGTCTCCCACTGAGGTGTGATGTTTTCTCTTTTGGTTCCACACCTCCTGGTTTCTCTTTAGGCACTTCCTAAAGGGTGATAATTTTTACTTATTGGTCCTCCACCTGTTCAGTGTGGGATTCTAGCTATTTTGTGAAAAGAGGTAAGATGTCACATTGGAAGTTAGCATTTTCCTACACTGAAAATGTATTTCTGATAGATACTTACCTCCAGTGATTAATGAGTGCAGATGTAGTGTCATGCTCCTATTGGTGGAGAACTGCTGCATGGTCATTTGCATGTGGATATATGGAAGTGGGAGATAGAAATCTAGTGGTATGCATTGAAAATTTGTACCAATAGAGGACAGTGCTAGTCGAGAAACGCTATTTTGTGAACAGAGGTAAGAATCTATTGGAAATAAATTTTCAGTGTAGGAAAATGCTAATATTAGGTATAAATTTAATGATTGGTAGTTGTTATTAGAAATTTAAGATATAGTTACTTTAGGTAAAAAAATTATTTGATGGCAGTAATTATAAATTTTAAGAGATTTTTTTACTTGTTTATCTATTTAGAGTATCTTAAATCATTTTTCTTTGAAGTGTAGAGAACCACAAGCATGTAAGAGAGATTTGTGATATTTATTGTTTATTGTAATGTGTTAAACTGCATTCTTTTGAGTCTAATGTCAATATGTCTTCATGGAGTCTATCAACTTAGAATTACAAGTAGAAGTCGATGATAAAATCATAAGAAATTAGATTTAAAGAATTAATGTGAAATTCTTTTTGTAGCCGTAACATTGGAGAAAGCAGATACTAATGACATGAAAAATTGACTCAACTATTTTTGGAATGCATTGCTTTCTTGTACATTCTAGAGATTTCTTTACTAATCCACCATTATTTAAATATTGATACTCAAAAATAGCTAAAAATGAGGTTTAGATAAAATAAAGATTAAAAAAAAGGATGAAGTACTTTGGTTTGTTAAATTCTAATCTTCAGGTTATTATTTTTTTCTGCTATAATTTTATTTTTAGATGTTTAGTGTACTATGGTTTTACTTGAACCCATTGTAACTTTTGAAAAGGATAATATTACAAAGATGAGATTGCAATATCATTCACCTTGTGTCATTAGTATATTTCGTTGTGAAAATAGGCACATCAATTAAAATCACTGTAACTTCCACCTTTCTTCTGTTTATTCATAAGTCAAAAACCCAAGATAAATACTGGCCATGTGGGATTTACTAATGTGTTATGTTAAAGACATATTTCAAATGTTTTAAATGTACAAAGGTAGCTTTTATTCACAGTGAAAAAGGGATCTTTAAAAGAAAAAAAATCACCATAATCCTTTGTATTACTCTGTCTCAGAATAAAATAATAACTGTTTTCTAGTTTACTATTATTGACCATTTAACTTTCATACCCAGTATTAAATTTATGCATATCATATGGACAATGAGAGTTTTATAAGGTATCCTACAAATATTTTGAATACATAAAAGTTTATCAGAATAGTAATGTTAATTTCAATGCCATACAGTCCAATTTATTATTTTAAACTGAAAATTGTCTACCAAATATTGACATATTTTCAGTCATTTAAGCCTGTGTTTTCCCACCTTTTTAAATAGCATGAGCACATTTAATTTATTATAACATTTACTGCTGCATCGTTTATAATTCAATCAAACAGGAACTGTATCAAACACATTTAGGATTGTGAGATGTTTATTTTTCAAATACTTGTAGCTTACAAATCAAATTATACCTGGTGAAAGAGTGGAAGTTTTATAAGTAAGAATACATGCTAAGAAATTAACTCTCATGTGACACTCAAGTCTGTGAGATTTACTCTTGTCTTCTTTTCTGTTCCTTTATTTTTTACATAAATAACTTTTTCTCTGTGCAACCATAAAAACTTTGTATTCCTGAATCATGAAAATGTTCCAGAAATGTAAGACTATTTCTTGTGAAAATACAACTTTGACTTAATTAACATTCTCATTAGTGGCTGTAGCACTTGATAGAAATTCTTTATTCACAAAAAATGTAAAGTACTCTAGTTATCATTACTTATACTTAAAAGAGAAAATAATAATTTAAGAGTGTAATTTAATGGTAGCATATAAAACATGTATTAAAAATATTGAATATAATGTATTGAGAGTGAGCATAGTATATGTTAATTAGAATTATATTTCAACAACTTTTTACTTTGTTTAGGCATATATCTTACAAGTAGGCATGTCATTTTTAGAAGAGAAAATGAAATGATTTTGAAAAAATACATCAAACACTGCAATTCCAATAAAATTATAAAATTTTATAATTATAACATTATAAAATCTAAATTATCGTTGAATGTTTCATGAAAGTTTCAAAACTTACATAACACTTGCTTTCTGGCTGTGAAGGATATTTAAAACATAGTTGTGAGTTTTGTTAGGAGTTGTGATATAGTGATGTAAGAAATACAGTACATCATATGTAACAGGAAGCACAAGTGTATGTTATTTTGTTTTGAGTGGTAATACATAGTGATGTAATAAAATACATCATATCTAACATGAAATTCTAGTATATGTAACATAAATAAATTTGACTGAACTCTTCCCAGAAATACCAGTCAGTAAATGTTAGTTGATAGTTACAGAAGTACATGTTAGTGTTTTGAAAAATGATATAGGAAAGTTGATATTTGATGTTCTTTTTGTTGTTACTTGAGCTGTGTTTTTGTTTTGTTAGCTACCAAAGGACAGTCTCTAAAAGAGGAATGGATTGCATATATTTGCAGGGAAATTCTTCGAGTAAGTTCTTTATGCTTTTTTTTTAGTGAGAGAAATAGTTTATCTACAAATGGGGGGGGGGGTCTTCAAAGCTTTGAAGTGTTTCACACTGTTTTAAAAATTATATAAATGTGTATTAAATAGGTAATTTAAGTATTGGCATATTCTTAAAATTTGTAACCCTTGTAATACATTAGAAATTGTCATGTTATTCTTCAGAACTACTTTATAAACCCATTATAAAATGGGGAAAACGATTGTACATTGGAATATATATATATTCAAAATTACTTGTCAGTTCTGAAATATCTCAGTATACATGTCATTGCAGTGTTTTTTTGTTTCTATCCATATTAGGTATTTTTATTTATAAGTAATTAGCTGAGTTACCCAGCATTGCACAGTGAAAATCTAGTTATGAAATGTATAGATCATTATTTTTTTCAGCAAATTATTCAGTAAGTAGATAAAAGATGTGATGCTAGAAATAAAAAAGCATTTAATCAAACAAAGCTTTATTTGAAATTAGATCGTGTTTGAGCTTGTCTTGTTCTTTGAGCCTGAAGTCATACATCATGTTGCTCCTCTGTTTCTTGCTCTCTGTAAGTTATCTGTCTTATTTTTTGTGCTTGAAGTCTGGTTTGACGTTGTTCAGAAGTTTCTTGATGTCTATATCCAGCTTGCCTTGATGATTCTGACTGAACTCTGGTTTTGAATTTGTTTTATAGATGGTATTAGAAGTGTTCAATGGAGGTCAAAAGTTGAGTGAACTTTTATGGCTTGATAGAGTAAACATGCCATTTTTGATAGGAATGTTAACCAATATCTCAAATTCCTGATTTAATGTATAATGGTATTTGGAGTTTCCAGATTATTTAAAGATCTGGTTGTAAACATGATTATTTATCAGTAAAAGAAAATCCTGACTCCACTGGGAGTTAAATGCAAGACTTCTACAGGAGAGTTGAAACCTGTAACCATTTAGCCAGTTTGGCAATGTTAACAAATATTTAAGATCTCTAAACTGAAATATCATGGAATTTGGGTTTTTCTGAACATTCAAAGAACTTGCTCTAAACATGATCGCTATGAATAAAAAAAAAAATCTGACCTGACTGGGATTTGAACTGTAAATATATTTCATAAACTATTCTATAATTTTGCTGACAAATGAAAGGTAATTCATTAACACCCATAGTGTATAAAATATAATAGGCCTAATTCTAATGCCTTATGATTGGTATCTTGCCAACTTTCAAAAGGTGTACACAATAACGAAAGTTCTGTAAGTTTCTAGTTACTTAGAAATACGTTTTACTTTAAACTTACCAACAGAAAATATAAGCAAATATATTTTCCTTTGTAAGGTTGACAATGCTACAAACATTCAGAATGTAAGAAACAGTAATACAAGTACAACCAATGTAGACATAACAAATAGGCTTACACTAGTTTAGGCTTAAACAGTCTTTGAAATTGAATATTTCCAACTAAATATTTATTTAGATGAAGCATCGAAATGAACATTTATCAATAAAGGAAAATTATGAGAAAATCCTGACTCAACTGAGATTTAAATGTAAAATCCGCCAACAGGAAATATATGCAAATGAATTTTCTTTTGTAATGTAGACAACTCTACAAACTTTCAGAATGTAGGTAATGTTCATAAGACTTTTGCTTGAGACTAACCACTGAACCAATTTGAAAGTTATCAACAAAGAAAGTGTTATGAACAGGGATTAGAATGTTACCAAGAAAGGGAATGTTATGGACATAGAGTGGCTTTTATTTATTTATATATACATAGATAATCTAAAACTCCTGCTTTAATATTTTGTTGTTTTTTTTTATATGAGGAAAATGAATATCATAGAGGTTAAAATTTATTAGAGGAACACTGAATTTCTTGTTTAACTCACAACTGTAAATTTTGTTTTGTAGTATTAATTATTTTTGCTAAATGACATCTTTAACAAAGTGTTGTCTGTCAACATACTTTGAAGCTTAGTGTTACAGTGCTTTGCTGTATAGTTACCATAAAGTTTAATTTTTTTATATAAATATCTGTTTCACTGTGAGATAAATTTTAATTATTTAAAATTGAATCTTTCATTTCTGTAATAAATAATAATATGAAATGAACATATGAATGTTTCTGATATTTATGGTTAATATATTGGTTTTGTTTTTATTCTCCAGGGTCTCAGTCACCTTCATGCTTGCAAAATTATTCATAGAGATATCAAAGGCCAAAATGTGTTATTGACAGACAATGCAGAGGTCAAACTAGGTAAGAAACTACATCATTGTTTGAGTGTTAAAACTAGAAAGAAAGCACAGTTGAGAATTGAAAGTAAGACTCGGCATTTAAAAAGCATATAACATTTAAAAAACTTTAAGGGTATTGCATAACTTTTACTTTATCAATATAGACATTAATTAAAAGGTATAACAGACAAGGTACTTCATCTTACATTACATACTGATGTGTTTTTTTGTAATATCTGATGGTGTACTGATATTTACTGCTCTGAAGTGCTTACATTTAGGTATATGACGTGTGTGTAGTTTTGTATATACACACACACACACTGACAGAGTTCTGAAGTATGACACATAACACTTATTAGTAGTGTGTAATGTTTGATCTTTTTACTCATATGTATATAAACCTTAGTATAAAAACACACAATAAAATGTTTTAACAATTCACAGTACAGTCCCAAGCACATTCTTTTTTTTCTCATCTTACAGTGTTAATAAATTGTTGTTAGTACTTCTAAACACAATTCTACTTTATTTAGTTGTGTGTTACCATGAATAAAATGCATTTGTTTTTGTGTAGATGAGTCAAGTCCTCAGTCTTCTTTTTATGTTGGTGATTAAACTTTGTGTGCTTTTGTTCCAAGTCCTTGAACATCACATCAATGAAACTATTATTTTAATGTTTAGAGATCAGTCTTTCTCAGGTTTAAAACAGTTAACACAAACAACTCTTTAATAAAAATGCAATATTTGAACTATAGGATATCAGCATTAAATTCATTATATTTATCTTTCAGTCGACTTTGGGGTAAGTGCTCAACTTGATAGAACAATAGGTCGAAGAAATACTTTCATTGGAACTCCCTATTGGTATGTTTTTTCATTGAAAATACTTTATTGTCAGGTGCCATAGTTTCTTTTTTTAACTATTTTTTTAGGATTTCTATTTTTAATTAAAGCAAATTTAATGAGATTAACTCATTTGAATCTAATGTTATGTATTTTAACTGAGTTTGTGAATACATCATATTTTTTATGAGGTTTACAATTATAATTCCACTATGTATGCTAAAGGATTAAAAGAAATTCTTACTTATACAACATACAAAAACATATTGTAGATTAAACTGTATGTAATTAGTTTAACTTTTAGTGCAATGATATTTAGTGTTTTGTCATTGAAGAATAGTGTTTTAATTGATTTTATTATTCTGCAATAGGATGGCTCCTGAAGTAATAGCATGTGATGAAAATCCTGATGCCACCTATGATAACAGAGTAAGTTTAGAGAATTAAAAAATATCAATAAAAGTTACAACATATGGTCTTTTATACTTTATGAAAGGTTTTATGTATGTTTCCATTGTTTAATTTATGCTTTTAATTTCTCAGTAAATTCATGTATAAATAATGAAATTGCATTTTGTGGTTATATTTTTATATTTAGTATTAATAAATTTGTTATGTTTCAAAAACAATCTTAAACATTAAGCTACATAACGTTTCCCAATTTCTGATTTTCATAATTTTTTTATATTTAAGTTTTGAAGATGATTGACACTTTTTTATTTGGATTATCTAATGTTTCTTATATACTTTTTTAGTATTTTGTTATTTTACAAGATTACTAGTTTTTTTTCACCTGATACCAAAAATTGTTGTTGTTATTACTTTTATTCTCATTTAGGTATCCTAAAATATAACACACATTTCAATGAATCATTTTTAAATTTAACAAGGTTTGATCTGTTTCTGAACAATAATTAATTTTTGTATAATCAAAACTAGCAGAATGTTGAAAAGTTTTGTATGTGTTGTTATTTATGAAACTTGCAAGTTTGTTAGTAATTACTACTTAGTTTAAATGAAAAGCATAGTGATATTTTATGTGCCACTATGTAGTTCATTTAGAGTAAAATATCAGAACTTAATCATTTCAGAAAATTTATTCCATATCTTTGAGACAGGTTAATGTTATATATTTATTAATTCCAACACTTATCATGCTGGCTCAGCCAAAAATGATTACTCTGGTTTAAAGAAGACATTCAGTGATTTGTACAAAACTACAGCTACAAACTTACCCTAGTTTTAATAATGCTGACTAGAAAATTGTGAGCTCTGGGTGTTATAAAACACACATAGAAGGAAATGGATAGAATAATTTTTCTACTTTAAGGCTTAGTATCAATATAAATCATTGTGTTTGAATTGTTTAGCTTAAGAGGATGAAGAGAAACAAAAGTTTCTGATCACCCTAGGTTGTCTTCCAGGTCCTAAAATCTTTCTTTGAGGCTTGAAAGATTTTTTAAACCTAAATTCCTACCAAAATTTTGTTTTAGAACAAGAGTTTTACTTATTTTTCGTGAAGTATTAGAACTTAGAGGCTTGTATGTTCTTTAGTATATACATTTTTTGTAGTTCTTTTAATAAATAGTAGCAAGTTTGATTTGTGGAAAAATGAACTGTATAAAGCAATTTAAATGTGAGTTTGTAATATTATTTTTGTAACTATTTTTGCTACTATTTGTTTTATCTTGGCCTTTACAGAGTGATTTGTGGTCATTGGGTATTACAGCTTTAGAGATGGCTCAAGCTCAACCTCGTAAGTTATTTAACAAGAATTCTTATTGTTTCAAGAATGTTGAGTTACATTTTACTGGTATTTTTTAATTTTTCTTCAGATTGTTTTAGCTGTTTTTTGAGCATCTTGCATTTTTTTATGTTCATAGCCTTTAACAAAAAATCGTTAGTTAATCATCTGTTACATTAAAAAGTTTGGATTGTTTTAAAGCAATATGTAGTTACTGATAACTGATACATAGTGTAATTGGTTTATCTTCACATTCAAAACTTTTTTATTTGACAGACTTTCATCTTTATTTCATAACCATCATCAGGTTGATTATACAACCTTGAAAAAAGAACATTTTCTGTAGACTGTGTCTCAAGGTACATGTCATACATGTGATGAAGAGGAATTTTTTATAATAACATGTTTCATAACAATATAAAATATTATATTTCATGACAGTCTATTAAATGTTGAAGGATGTGAGTAAAGTCAAGTTTTTGGATTGTAATTATGGTTCTCTTATTTCATAATGTCTCAATCAATTCTTTCCACACAGACTAATTTTTAATCCTTTGTCTCTATCGAGGCTAGAATGAGCTTTCTTAATATGAATAGCCTTTTTTCTTTTTGTATCATAAATCACAATCCTTGTCCATGATTTTCACCTAATCTACCAGTGGAAGCATATCATTTCTTGGCAATCTTATTCCAGTTAGTTTGTCCCAAGTTTAAGCCAGTTTAAGATGTTCTTTATACATGACTTCAAGCATATGTTGTGTTTCTCCAACTTACTTCTTATTACATCTTCATTTAGCTTTGTAGATTACAGCTTTCTTTTAAATAGTGTGCATACTATTAATTGAATGACTTTTAGTAATGCTGTAAGTGGTGAGGATATTGAATTGCTTTAAGATAATTTGTAATTTTTCACTATTACATATGTTTGTAGGGAGTCTGCATATTAATTCAGAAATTGTTTTTTTCTTTCTACTGTTTTTAGTTGGTGCATACACAAAATTTTTGATGTCCTTTTTGAGTAGCTATTTTATTGAAATACAGTCTTTAATGGGTTTTATTTCTGTATCTAAATAGCATTGGTCATATAACTGTTTTGCCCTACTCTTAAGGCATGAGATGAGTAGTAGTCTAGATATATGTGTTCTTATGTGTGTATGTAGACTTATAGTGTACAGTCATAGATATTATAGTTTTTTTGCAATGTCAAGACATATAAGAACACCAATCCTCCATTATTTTCTTCTTTGATTGTGAATTAACCCTTGCCAGACAGGTCATAGGTCATGTCATCGCATTTGTTGACTCGCATTTAAAATTTTATTGAACTACTATTTCATGAACTTATGTTAATAAGTTTGGGATCAAACTGTAGATTGTAATTCAAATTTTACTATTATACATTATTCAATTTCTTAATTTAAAAGTAATTTATAAAAACACAGTTAAACTGATTTTTGAGTGTCACCTCGTATGTTGTATGCAGCACTGGTTCAAATTAGATGTTTGTGATGTAAAAATACTAAGTCTATATTTTTATACGAATTAAGAACTCAAATTACTGATATTGGCAAGCTAGAATATAAAAGAAGAACCAAATATATTTTTCTATTTGCCGAGATATCGTTCATGTACTGAATCAAACACAGTGGGCCCGCTCACCTCTTTCCAATTTTGGAAACAGTCCCTTATATACA